AAATAATAATAATTTATAAATTGTCATGAGAGAGGGGAATGGGGAGGGAAGGGAAAAAATGAGGAGCTGATACCAAGGGCTCAAGTAGAAAGAAAATGCTTTGAGAATGATGATGGCAACAAATGTACAAATGTGCTTGACACAGTGGAGGTATGTATGGATTGTTATAAGAGTTGTACGAGTCCACAACAAAATGATTTAAAAAAGAAAATGATGATGGCAACATGTGTACAAATGTACTTGACAGCATGGATGGATTTATGGATTGTGATAAGAGCTATATGAGCCCCCAGGAAATGATAAAAAATAGAAGAAACATCCTGTATATCTGATATTTACATTACGATTCATAACAGTAGCAAAGTTGCAGTGATGAAGTAGCAACAAAAATAATTTTATGGTTGGGGTCACCACAACATGAGGAGCTGTGTTAAAGGTTCGCCGCATTAGGAAGGTTGAGAACCACTGCTTTGGGGTGTAGTGACTTAAGCATTGGGCTGTTAATTGCAATGTCAGCAGTTTTAACCCATGGGAGAAAGATGGGGGTGCCTGCTTCTGTAAAGATTTGCAACCTTGGAAACCCTAGGTCCTAATCTGTTTTATAGAGTTGCTATGAGTTAGAATTGCTTGGAAGCAATGAGTTTGGGTTTAGGTGTACCATCTATGTTGAAATTTTATCACTTGACCCAAGAATGTCCTTTATAGAATTATTTCTCCTTCTAGTTCAGGGTCCAGTCTACAATCCTTAAAACAAAACGAAAGCCCCTGCTGTCAAGTCAATTCACATGACATTCAATCCTCATATTTCTTCAGCCTTCTGTAGTCTAGAACGCCTTTCTCAGCCATTCCTTTGTTATGAGTATTATTATTTTACAAGTAATATTGGGGTCTTGGTGAAGGAGGATGCAGCAGCTGGGGTTGCCATGCAACAATTTCTACACAGGTCATTCGGCAACACTGGTTGCAGTCTTCACAAGCCGTAAACATCCTCATTGTTTTTCTCCTGTTTTTTTCATTTCCACTCATCTAGTTTCCCTTTGCCCTCACATCCTCATTGTTATTTTAAAGTAATTGTTGACCATTTGGTTTCCCATAGGTGATTTTTAAAAGAAGCATACTATTGATGAATGGTAGCCGGTATTTTTTTAGCTACCAGGTGAACTCAGGCGTTAGTTTTGACTCAAGGTTTAAAGATTATCTCAGGGCAATAGTCTCAGGGAATCCTCCAGTTTCAACCGGTCCAGTGGGCCTCTTGTTTTGTCTTGGTTTTATTTGGAAGGAATTGGAGGTTCTGTTCCACATTTTCTCCATTCTATTAGGGCCCATCTTTGGTGGCCTGATGTAGTAGTTACATAGTCTGGTGTCAATTTGGGACTTGAGAGGATTGAGAGTGAAGGGGTGGAGTCTAATCTGTCCATCTTTGTATAGCCAATGAGGCCTCTGTGTGGGCACGGCCTTCTCCTGAGAATTCTGGGAACTCCTGATTTTCCTCCTTGGAGGCAGGAGACACCTCTCTCTCTGCTCACTCCCAGATACAACGCTCTATTGACAGCACACATGGCACTATGGCCTGGGAGCTGGAGAAGCTTGGACGTACCTTGATGCAACCAGACCTCTGCAGCTGGAGAAGCCATGTGGAGATCCTTCCACCTGCCCTGGATTCAGAAGACTTCCCACCCACTGGCCTGTGATCTTCCTGTATTCAGTGTCATTGCATGTGTTTTGTGAGTTTGAAGAGGACTTTCTAGATTGGTATCTGACATATGGGCTAATATTGGACTTATGGACTTGATCTGGACTGGGCTGGGATGTTTTCTCAATATTCAATTGCTCTTGACATAAACCTCTTTCTTATTCACATGTGAGTCTCATGAATTTGTTTCTCTAGTCTACCCGGACTAACACACCTGATTAGAACAATTGGTATTGGTAGCTAGACCACCTAGTTCTGCTGGTCTCAGGTTAGGTGAAACCATATTTTAATGTTTATGACATTGACTTTAGGGGAAAAAAAGCCTTCCCTTTTATTATAGAAAGCCCCTCCATTTGAGTTTGACTGATGTTTCTTCAGGATTACAGTTAGGTTATACACCCCCAGTCAGAATACCACATAGCTATTCTGTCATCAATTATTCTGGTATCGATTTTGATCACTAGGTCAAGAGAATGTCCTTCCCCCCCTGCTGTCTACTTAGGTTTCGCCCTCCCTTTACAATGAATAAACAATTTGTGGAGGATATTTTTAGACATTACAAACATCTAACTCCTCATCAAAATTTCTTATCCATTGATGATCCACTGCTTCTTTTTCCTGACTCAATCTTTACTTTTGTGGTGCTGTGAATTTTTTTGTGAATAGGTGACGATGAAGAATAGGGCCCTTCAAACTATATAGTCTCTGTAACTCCTATCAAATGTGAGGTTTGTGGCCCACCAAGGGGATCGGATATCTTGCTAATAATGTCAAAAAGGAACATGGCATCTTTTTGTGTGTGGGGAGGGGTGGCCATACAAATAAGGTGTATGGAACTCTAACATAGGAATTGATTGGTTTTGTAGCCCTGCTAGACTGAACATGAGCCACCCCAGAAGTGGAAAGGGGAATCTCATGACCATCAAGAGAGAGGAGCCAGGCGTGCATAGCACCCTTTGGACCACCCGAGATCCCTACACTGAACCTTCTTGATCCTGAAAACAAAGAGTTGTGACCCCAGAAACAGCAAAAGACAAGAAACAGCGACAGAGAAGTGGGAGTAACAGAAGCAATAGAACCAGGAGACAACAGAGACTGGCACAGTAGTTTTCCAGACCCATAGAGCAGCGGTTCTCAACCTGTGTGTGGGGAGTCGCCCGATTCACAACAGTAGCGAAATCACAGTTCTGAAGTAGCAATGAAAATAGTTTTATGGTTGGTGGTCACCACAACATGAGGAATTGTATTACAGGGTCGCGACATTAGAAGGGTGAGAACCACTGCCATAGAGCAAGAAAGCTGAGCACCTTCAGGCAGGTGACTAGCTAGCAGAGTGGGGTGCTTCTGGGCACATGGCGAGTTAGGTTTGCTGACCAAAAGAGTTAGAAATGAGTACAGTTGTACCATTCCTAGCACATTCTTATTGCTGGGGGGGGGGGCGCCTAATTCAATCCAGAACAGTTAACAAGCTTCCAAAAGGGTGTGGGGTGAGAAATACTGTCTTACTCTGAGTTGAAGGAGCAAAGCCAGTGAAATGTATATATTCATATATAGCGAGATTTACTTTAAGGAAACAGCTGCCACAATTGTGGGGGCTGGCAAGTCCCAAATGTATGGGTCAAATTGCTAGGTGAATAATATATTGGAGGACAAGATGAAGAAGGCCAGTTGGGAAGGTATTACAGTAATCAAGGTAGGAAGAGGTGGTGGTGATAGCAGAGATGGAGAAAAATTGGACTGAGTCAATATATTTCATGGGTAAAGAGGACATATTAATGGATTGTATGTAGAAATTAAGGAAGATGAAGGAATTGCCAATAACTCCTGTGTTTGAGACTTGAGTAATTGATTGACTTGATCATTTGTGTTGGAGGGAAATGACTGAACAACAAGAACAACAACAAAAATTGGCAAGGGAATGTGGAGCATCCAGTTTAGTCCTAAACATGCGTTCCTTGATATTCCATCTAGGAAACTAACCTGCTCCAGGAAATAGCTGATGTGCAAATTTAAAAGGCTGGTTTCTGGGCTTGACCTTAGGTCTACTGAATCAGAATCTCCAGTAATCTTATTTTAACATGTTTTCCAGATGACTGAAATCCATACTACAGTTTAATAGCTACTGTACCTCATTCTTCCCAATTTCCTCCTTCCGTTTTCTTCTTTTCTGCACTTGCCAATTCTCCTTGAAGGCTTGGAAAATTGGCTGAGTAAAGAAGGCACTAGAAATATAAGAATAATAAATCTGTACAGTATAGTAATATGTACTATATGACAACAATAAACATATATATACAGAGCCCCAAACTGCATGAAACAAAAACTACTAGAATTAACTAATGAATTCTACAATGCTGAAGATACAAGTTCAATACCCAAGAATTGGTAGTATTTCTATACAGTCGCTATGAAAAACTTGTAAAAGATATTAACAAAGTATTTCCACCTACAATAGTATCAAAAATAACAAAGCATTTAGGAATAAATTCAACAAAAGAAATGGTAAAACCTGTACATTGAAAACTATAAAACATCATTGAAAGAAATTTAAGATATTCACAAGTGGAATGGTATACTTGACTCTAGAGGGAGAGGCTTAGTATGATTAACATGGCTAAAGGGCCTACACATTCAACACGTTCCCTATAAAAATCCCAGCAGCCTATATTTTCAGAAATTAGAAAAGTGATCCTAAAGTTCATGTGAAAATATAAGGGATTAAGAATAGCTAAAATAATTTTGTAAAAGAAAAACAAAGGTCCAGGACTTACATTTTCCAATTTCAAATTTTATTCTAGAAATACAGTAATGAAAACCGTATGATCCTGGCATAAAGTTAGACATAAATATCAGGAAGAGGAAGAGAATTGAGAGCCTAGACATAAACTCTCAAAAATGATGGTTAATTGATATTTTAACACAGGTGCCAATACAGTTGAATCAGGAAAGAATAGTTTTTCACAAATGTGCTGATAAAGAACAACAACAATAAAAGTACCAAACTTGCTGCCATTGAGTTACTTCCACCTCACAGTGACTCCACAAGACAAAGTAGAACTGTGTCTGTGGATTCGTGAGGTGGTAATTCTTTATGACAGCAAAAGCCTCATCTTTCTCTTACAGAGCTGCTGGTAGGTTCAAACTTCTGACCTGAAGGTTAACAGCCCAACTCGTAATCTATCATGCCTCCTGGGGTCCATGGAGAACTGGATATAGACATGCAAAAGGATGAAGTTGGACTGCCTCCTATCATATGGAAAAATTAAAAGAGGATCAAAAACCTAAACCTAAGAGTGAAGACTATTAAACTCTTAGGAATAAACACAGGAATAAATCTTCATGACTGTGTTAGGTATTGATTTCTTAAATATATACTCAAAGTCTGAGTGATAAAAGAAAAGAAAAATAGATAAATTGCATTTCATCAAAATTGAAAACAAGTCTTACAAAGGACTATCAAGAAAATGAAGAGTCCAGAATAACAGAAAATACTTGCAAACCACATATCTAATATAGCCCACTATGATGATTATAATAAAAAGTATAAATAACAGTGTTAGTGAGGATGAAAAGAAATTGGACTGTTCATACATTGCTAATAGTAGAGTGAAGTTGGCGCTGCTGCTTTGGGAAATAGTGTGGCAGTTCCCCCAAATAGTAGATCTAGAGTTACCATAGGACTCAATAAGACAAGTAACAGCATCGATCCACCACAAACTTGCTCACCAAGTTCATAGAACCTTATTCATAATAGTGTAAAGAACCAAAAAAATCCATCATCTGATGAATGCATAAATAAAATGGGCTATAGTGATACATTGGATATTACAAGGCCAGCAGTTTGAAACCACCAGCTGCTCTGTGAGAGAAAGATGAGGCTTTATATTCCCATAAAGAGTTACACACTTGGAAGCTCACAGAGGTAGTTCTACCCTGTCCTTACAGGGTAGAGATGAGTCGGTGCGGTTTCCATAATTTGTTATGATCCACACAGTCGGATGCTTTGGCAGAGTCAATAAAATACAAATAAACATCTTTCTATTATTCTCCACGGTATTCGGCCAAGATCCATCTAACAACAACAGTGATATTCCTTGTTCCATATCCTCTTCTGAATATAGCCTGAACCTGTGGCAGCTCCTGTCAATGTATGGCTGCAAACTTTGTTGAATGATCTTCAGCAAAATTTTACTTGCATGTGATATATTATTCTGTAATTGTAGTGTCTGTTGTGTCACCTTTCTTTGGAAAAGGTACAAATATGGATCTCTTCCCATCAGTTGGCTAAATAACTGTCTTCCAAATTTCCTGGCATAGATGAAAAAGTGTTTCCATTGCTTCATCAGCTTGCTGAAATATTTCAACTGCTATTTCATCAATTCCCAGTGCCTTGTTCTTGGCTAATGCTTACAGCGCAATTTGAACTTTTTCCTATTGACTAGTTCTTTTTTGGTACAGTGAAGTCTATATATTTTTTGCATCTTATTTTGATGCTTCCAGCATCATTCAATATTTTGCCCATAGATTTTTTCAAGATTGCAATTTGAACCTTGAATTTTTCTTGAGTTCTTCCAGTTCAAGGTAGTCTGTGTTTTTCCTTTTTGTTTTTAACTCTAGGTTTTTCCACATTTCATTATAACATCTGGCTTTGTCTTCTTGAGCTGCCTTTTGAAATTTTCTATTCAACTCTTTGAGTTCATCAATTCTTCCATTTGCTTTAGCTATGCTATGGTTAATAGCAAGTTCCAGAGTTTTTTCTGACATCCACTTTAATCTTTTCTCCTGTGATGAATGATGTCCTTCCACAGCTCATCAAGTCTTCTGGCATTAGTGTTCAATGCATCACATCTGTTCTTGAAATGTTTTTAAAATTCCGATGGGATCACGTCAGGGTCATATT